GACTCGGTCTGCGACAGAGCATACTGGGTGTGAGGGAGGAGGGAATCAGGAGCAGAGTGACTAAATATCAAATTACCTGCTAGAATGACACCGCTGTTGCAAACAGAAGCTATTCTTGAAAATTTACTTCCAAAATTCTTTGGATCATTTGAATTTTTTTAAAAAAATCGTAGTTTCCAAATCACACCAGGAAAACTTAGCTGTTTAGACTGCACGGGAAAATGTACCCAGCTGTGGAAATAGAGGATGATTTGCCTTTGTCTCAGTTTATCCCCAGGAAACCATTTTTTTTTCATCGTAGATTAATTCAGCATTATGCACCATTACATCCAGATTACTCAAGCACAACCAGCACCAATAAACTATAATTAAATCCACTCTTTGTCACAGGCACATCAGACTGACTAAACCAGCAAATTTGCATATAGATTACCTTGCTATTTGTCTGCTTTGAAAGATTTTTCAACATGGTGTGACAAAACCAGCTCCTGGATTAGTGTGTGCGCGCACATGCACGCGCACACACACACACACACTTTTAATGCACAAAAGCGCGCACACACACACACACTTTTAATGCACAAAAAACCCATTACATTCACAATTTCTGCTCAGTGCAACAGATGCTGTTGCTAGCATGATGAACAGACCCTTTCCTCCGTGGTGGAATCTCTTGGTTTTGAGGGCTTTCAGCTTCGGAATATGAAATAAATGACAAAAGGTCTCATCCATTTCCACAGCATTCCCCATGTAACGTAGATGGTGAAAGAGAAGATCTACAGGGAATCTATGCATAAAAATTCGCATTTGTAAATGCAAAGGCAACTGTGAGGAACCAAACCACTCCAACTTGCACACTTGCTGTGTATGGTGTGTGAAACTACTTTTTCTGTGGAGAGATTTTTACTCCCTTGCCGTTCCTCTCCCAGGAGTGGCCAGCACTATCCACAGGGTGGCGGGGAGAGCTGTGTTGCTACCCTCTCCCGCCTCCTCTGCCTGGAACAGAGGGACAGATCTGACCTTGACAGATGCAGGTTTGAGTGAGGGTCTTCGTTCACACTTGGCTGCCCCTTCCTTTCCTCTTTTCTGCATATGGAGGTCTCTATTAAGAAAAGACTCACTTTATCTGATGTCAAAGTGAAGGGTGGGATCTTTACATTTTTGTAAGCATTACATTTAGGCTGAGTAGAAAACAGGAAGAATCTGCATGTTTACAAGAGCAGATGCCCCAAAAGTATTTATTTTATTCAGAGGCTCTATATTTAATATGTGGAGGGTTCTTTGTGTTGTTTTTTGTTTTTCAAATGTGGGATTTCCTTTGAGGGAGGAAGGCTTGTTTAGCACTGATGTAGAACAATTCAATTTAAGGTTATAGCTCAGCACAGACCAAGTAGCTACTGGGAAATCAAACAGTTCTTCAAGCTTTATAGTTGCCCCAAAGCCTAAGGATTCCTGAAAGCCAACTGCATCGGAGCCTCTGTGCCAGGCTGCACTCTCATCCTCAGGACCCAGCCACATCGGTTCTGGTTTGCTGCACAGGCACAGCTAAAGATGACCCTGCTGTCTGACACCGACCAGCAAGCTGTGCTCTTTTCGGTTGGTCCCAGCTGGGCTTTCTGCTGCCTGAGAGGAGCTGATACGAGGAAGCAGCTGCTTTGTTCAGTTACTGCAGTTGCCTCCTGAATCATCCTGAAAGAAAACTCCTGAGTAAGCTCAGCAAAGTGCTCTCTCTTTTGCTGCTAGACACTGTGATGTGCTTTTGAACTGTTTCTGGCACACCGCCCTTTTCCCCATTATCTCCTCAGTGTTTTGATGGTTAACAAATAAGCAAAAAACTCCCCATTTTTGATCTGAGCTACAGTATATACAATGGGGTGCTGATGTAATGGGAAGATATGATAGGCAAGGAGCACTCACAACACATCAAGCTTCTCTAGCTGTAAGAGGAACATCCTACAGGATGGATCTGCAGCCAAGAACATTTATATTTGAGCTAGTATAAAATAGCTAGTCTAGGTGCAGCTCCAACATCACAGGCTGCAAAACCTACCCCAGCTTCTGGCTAAGTATCAAAGCAACCTGCCCATGATGTGCATGATCTTCACAGGTCTTCCATTCCCCTGTGTGTGTCTCGGGACAGTGAGCTCTGCAGAGGTTCTCTTCCAGTTACTTGTTTGTGTTGGCTGCAGGAGAAGATTATCTGTCTTTAAAGCAAATGGGGGAAAGTAATTGGAAGAGTAGCAGCCATAGCCATTGCTAGCTATTCACTGTAAATCAAAGGAGATTTTCACATTTTGGAAAATAGATTAGTCTGCAGCCCTTATTAGCTCCAGCAAGCTGTAACGCCACTTGGAAAGTTTTTGAATAACAGCATACCACTACATTTTTTTAAAGAATTGTTGCTTTCCGAGGACCCCCTTAGGAACTGCTGTCTCAAAACAGTGAGCAGTCATCAGCCAAGTTACTTGCTCTGCTGTGTTTCAAACTTAACAAAAGAAACTGCCCAGCTCAGAGGCAAGAGACCAGCTTGTACTTTATAGTGCAGCCTTGGCTGTGGAGAAATTTCCATCTGGCTTGGACTGAGCTGGGCATCCAAATTCCTTCAAAATTACTAGGTTGCCAGTATAATAAAGACAAATGTCTACCTGTTAAATCTATTGCCTTTTGCTCACTGCACCTGCCAGCAAAAGTACTGTCATTTCACCTTGAGGACTTTATTCTCAAAATATGGCAGGATGAGAAATATCTCAAGGATGATGGTTTGTTTTCCTTTGACATCTCAGGACAAGTGTCTCCCAGCAAGAGAGATATTTTCTTCTGGGAGACTTCCATATAAAAACAGACAGGAACAAAATGCGACTAAGTGTAATAAATGGCTCTATGTTGCTGTCCACACACTTTTGTGTCACCAAGCATCCAATCAGAGAGACCAACATTTAACTTTGCTCTTTCCCTCAGCCCAGAGATCTCAAGATGTATTACATCCTCAGCTCCAACCTCCAAAGGTAAGAGGATACAACAGAACTCATTTCAGCTGCATGCCTTCAAAAAGGTATATATAGAATTCAAATTAATGTACAGAAATTATAATAAATATGAAACTCTCCATTGCATCACCCTCAGAAAGCCACCCTAAGTGGGAGGCTTCCACTTCTGAAATAACAGAAGATTTGAAGATATCAATACTTGCCCATACTTCCTGACCAACTCCAGTCACTGCAAGAGACAACTGTTAAAAGAAGCCAAGTCTGAAACTGAGCCAGTCAGGAATCTACCAAATGCTGATTTGTGGGAATTAAAATGAAGAACAATCACTGTAACATAATCTATTCATCGGTAAGTAGTGTTGCTCAGATATAATGATCTTACCAATATGATGTTTATTCTAGTATACTGCAAACACATTTTAGAAGCATCAGAGCAAACAGTTTTCCTAAGTAAGTTTCATACGTTTATAAGCCTATTACACATAAGGCTTTCCCTAGTGAGCTTTTGATCTTGTTCTTCACATTTCACATTGAGGGTACAGTGCTAACATCACACGTCCAATAAAGCAAGTATTTTAGTCGAGTTGTGACTTTTTTTTAGTGTAAGTTCTTATTTATAGCATACGTCTTTTCACAAAAGATGGCAGTTAATTCCAGAAAGTTTTCCTAATCATTGTGAACAGTTAAACATATTGATGCATACACTTCAAAAATCATGCTTTTATTTTCACCTGAACGGAATGTGAATAACTGTTATTAAATTAGTCAGACACTTCTTTGACCAGTCGTCTGTTTAGAAAATAAATTTCCCCTTATATTTTAAATCAGCTCCCCTTTTCCTTTTTTTTCTCTCACTACAAGTTGTATTTTTCAGAAATAATGCTTACCTGTCAACTTCAGAAGGCTCACCCCTGTTCTACGAAAAAGGATAAAGTGTTTTTTGCAGAGCATTTTGTGGAGAACTATGCTATTAAAACTGCTCATCTGTGTTAATTAGATACATCTGCTTCAGAAAATAAGTCTGGGTCTATAAACCGCTTCTGCTTGGCCATGTGTAAATTAGGCTAGCAGACATTTTGAAACTGAATAAAAAAGTGCTGTAAGTGTGCAGCTACAGCCAGAAATGTGGTATTATAAGTGACCTCTGATGTGAATGTTTCCCATACTTTTTTCCTGAGATGGCAAGATACTGTGTTTTCTAATATCTTGTTTGCACTGCAGGCCTTTAAATAGAGAAGCAGCAACAAGATTATCTTGTCTTGTACACAGTAATCCCACTGTACTCTAAAATCTGTATTAATGACAGATAGCAAGCAAGGCCTAATAACTGCAACCTCAAAGCTTCATTTCTGCTATCTGAACTATGTGAAAAGCGTGGGCTTCTTTTCCTTTCCTGAGAGGAATGCAGAATTCCCAGCCTATTTGCAGTGCTATTACCTGGAGAGGCAGCAATGAGATACTTCAACAGCAAGCAATGATTTTCATGAGTGGGTGAACAATGTCTTTTGCCCTCCTGGCACAAATAGTTGTGCAATAAAATATGCCATCTGAGATGTCTATTCCTGCAAGATTTTGCATCTCAGTTCAACAAACCACTCAACAGGTATGACTACACTGCAAATAAAAAGTAGACATACTTTTTAGTAGATAGCCCACAGTGCTCATAACATCAACATTAGGGACTGCAGTCTTCTCATCATACATCTGCCTTGCGTGCCATTTGTCCAGATGTGTCCAGTCACCTGAACAGTCAGTCACTGGAAGCATATTCAGCCTTGTTTTGAAGACAACTTTATAGATGCAGTCTAGACATACACCATAGGACTACCAGTCCTTAAAATTAAGGTTCTAAAGGTATGTTCTGATCAACAATGAACCGAAGAAGAAAATAGACATGATTTTGCAGGAGGTATTCTATCTCATCAGGGTCCCTGCAGCTTCAAACTTAAACATGTTTACATATAAAAGAAACTGTGTGTGACATTTGCAGAACTTATTTTTCTTGTACATTACCTTTAAGACAAAGCAGTGATCTGTAGGTGCCTTATATTTCACTTTGTGTTGAGAACCATAATAAACGTTCATATTCTCAAATTGAATGAAGCATGCCAGATCCCGTGATGTCTACAAATGAAAACCAAGCACATCATTGTTAGAACAAATTGAATTTTGACGTGAAACTCATTAATAGAACCTTTTTCAAGTGTATGAATGCCAATGCTTTTTATTTTTTTGTCATAAAGTTGACTGAAGAAAGATGAATTTTAAGTATGTGCATTCTTAAACTAACAATTGGAAGAGGGTCAGTACATATTTGGAATAGTATATAACACACTGCAACATTTTGCTGTTGTTCTGGTTTTGCCATGCTTTATTGCTTTGTGTGGAGATTTTGGCTTATGGCTAATAAGACCAAATAGAACACCATAGTAAGAAACAACTTTAGTAAAATAGATATAGGCCTTGCAACCACATCCTTACAATTCTGAGTGGAGAAAGAAGGTTTGGGGTTCTAAATTGCTTTGGGAGCTTGTTTTTCTTTGGCATATGTAACAAACAAACTCTCAGCAGGAAATAAGCACAATTTCATCTGTTTTGCTTTGAATTTTCTCAAATTTCCTGGCATCGTTCCTTTTCTGTTTATCATAATATTTGCTTTTTCACAGTATGTTGCTAAAGTAACAAGGTTTCTGTTGCTGGCACACTTAGTGCAGAATTCTGCATACAAAGCATAACTTTTGCAATCCTTTGAGTGGAAATGCAAAAATGGCTGTGTCACATGGTCACTGTTGGATAAACTGAGAAATCAGGAAATTGTGAAAAAAAGAAAAAAGCAAATAACAAACCACAAACCCTCTCTACCCCTAAGAATGGTGTTATATTTCTGCATATGATGGTTCTTCTATGCTGTTCTCATTCTTACTGATACTTCCATTACAATACGCCCTTGAGTTGGGTTTATTTACAAATTGAATTTGCAAGTAAGATTTGTGGGGAGAGGGAACACTCCATACTGTATGTAGACAGGGCTTCTCTCTCCCCCCTGTCTCCCCTGAAGCTGATGTCAGGGATTTTGTCATTGACTATGTGGACCTAGGATTTTCCAACACTCTAAGTTCCTAAACGTGCTCAAATCCATGCAGTATAATGAGTTGTTCCTTTCCTTTACGAACCAGGTAATGGCAACTAAGACCAATATGAATGCAGTTGTTATTTTCTTCTAAGTAAGGAACAAATTTTTATGCAAGGGACAAAGGCACTTATTGCTAGTATTTCTGCAATGTTAACATGACAAAGCAACACAATTAACAGAAACAAATTTTAAAATTGTATCTGCAATTCTGATTCTGTTGTTTTGTGACCCTGTCCATTAACAGCATGTTTTTGAATGGGATAGAAGTAGAGTAACGCTGAAGAAAGAAATTAAGACAGCAGTGCTGACTGGTGCCTGGTTTGTTAACAAAAAAACCCCAAACAACAAAAAACGCCAAAGGCATGTGTGTAAAATTATCTGAACGTGTCCCTGTATTTTCACGTTTGCAATGTATTTTACGGCCAACGTGCAGTGCCAAAGGTATGCCAGACTTCTTTGCTTTTTTATAACAAGTGAAGACATGATTACATGATGAATTTCAAAACAGCTGCAGCAGCTGAAGATATTATTGTCCACCAACTGTGTGTTTCCGTACCTCAATGAAAGATCACTCTACCCACAACTGAATGACTGCAGCAAGGCGCATGTGCACTCTTCATACCACCCTGACATGGGATGAAGTCTCATAATTTAAGGGCTTTGACTGAAGAGCTCTACTGAATTCTGCTCCAGTGCTTTAAGATATTTAGCACCCTCACTGCACCCTGCTCATCCACCAGAGATTACTGTCTCCACAAAAGACGTGTACCTGAGCCACAGCTGTTCCAATACAGAGTCCAGTAACTAACTTAAATCATCATTAAACACAGATTTGAGCTAAGAGACTTTACTTTCGCTGGAATGGCTGAAGCATGGACATATGCATCCTTTTGCTGAAGGCTGTTACAGGAGCAGGAGCAAACAGTTGATTGTGGTACCATCTTAAAAAGCTAGATTCAAGGTCCTCAATCCCTGTGAGTGGCTGAGCTGGTAATATAGTGAGTTTGAAGCACTCACACAGTTCCTTAAAATGGCTCAGTTATAGGCAGGGTGGTATACAGGCTGTAACGACTAACAGGCAATAAAGTATTAAACTAAAACAGCTGTTACAAAGTGATGGCATGGCTCCATCCTGAGCCTATGTTTGCAGTCCATCACCTGAAAAAAGAAAGCACTTTCCTCATTTGCACTATGATAGAAAGTCACTGAAATGGATATCTCTGGATGATGAAAAAAGGCTGGATAACTCAGTATATGTTTGCCCTGCTTTGGCGCTGTGCTACTGGCCATCGTTGGAGGCAGGCTACAAGGAAATGTCAAAGATGGACTTTTCGTTTGACTATTCTTATACTCTTTCCACCTTAAGTGCCTTCCAAATAGCATTCTAGTTCCTAATTGATAGGATGTTGTGTATGTGCAACATGATTTGAGGACGGAAAGCTGTTACCTCAGGGTCAGGTAAAGTCAAAATAAATTGCCGTGAAAGCAGCAAGGTAATCTAGGTCTCTGTTTCACTGAGATTTGGTTATAAACACAGGTCACTGGAGCAGCAGCATGGCATTCCTTTACAAGCTATCAATTTTTTTTTCTCCTTTGTAATTAGTTGGAATAGCAGAACAGTTAAGTTTCACAGCACAAATCATAGCAGTAAAGCTCCATCAGCAGCACCGGAATTTTCAAATATGAAGCATTAGCAGAGCTGTAAGTGCTAACAGAAGTGGTTTTCAGAATTTAAAAAAAAAAAAAAAAACACCAGTCCCAGAAGCCATCATTCTACCTTATCACTGCAGAAATGAGAAGCCAGCCGCCCTTATGTGCAACATGTCCAGGACCCCTTTGCTTCTCCAGTGCTGGCAATTCAGACACTTTAAATATTTTGCAATGCTAAATGTCAGTGCCTTTGATTCGGTCAGGTGGATGCTTCTGTCTCACTTCTTTCTACACAAAGAGCAGTCTTAAAAAGCCTTAAAAGGCACAACGCATTCTCTAGGTAAAGAGAATGTAGGAAAAAAGGTACAGCATTTCTGCATGCTGGTTACTAGTGCAGAAAGTCAGTATCAAACAAAGTAAAATTCCACCTTTTTTGTGATAAGAAATCAGTTTACTTGAGAACTTTTTATATATTCTTCCACGGGGAACCCATACAACAGTGAAGCATTTTGGCAGCGTAATACCAGCTGAAGGGTGCTGTGCTGTTTTTCTTTCCCCTACTGACTTCCCGAGGAGTGCTATTTCATTAATGCTTTTATCTATCCATAGAAATCAAAAGGAGAGAAATGTGACAGGATTCAGTGACTACATTCTAATATTTGCACAAGTGGTGTAGTCAAAGTTAAATGAAAAAAACCCCAACCCGCTCAGATGCACCAGACAGTGCTCTTAAAATGTCACCTTGGGAGTTCTTCACTTTCACCTCCATGAATTGTTTTATTGCTAAAAGGATTATTTGGCTTCCTGACCTTGGTTTTTCCTTTGGGTACATAATAAATTCCAGAAGCTCGCAGAAGAAAATAACGTCTCTTCCAGGACTTTTTTCCATCTTCTTTTAAATAAAGGGCCCCTTCAAGCTCTGGCACAATGACAGATGTCCCACAGAAGCTTTCCTGTGCAACAGAAATAATAATACACAAAATAAATTGATTCAAGCACAACCCTATTAACAAATAGCATAAAAATGCTCCCTTTAAAAAATAAAGACATTTCCTGTGACAGTGAACATATGAACATGAGGAATGCCGTAACCAGGAAGATGAACACCTTAGACAGGCAAAGGAAACTTTTCCAAGCTAATGTGGTAACTCGGCCGTGCAAGCTGGGTGCTCACACTGGAAAAGAAAGCTCGCAAAACCTTCATTCTCTAAAGGGTCAAGAAAAACCTACAAAAGGTTTTAACTAGACATAGATGTGCTCAGTGAAGGCAATAAAACAGAATGGTTGGTGCTACTGCTGTTGGTTTTTCTCTATTGCTGTATCTATAGGTTCTGTAGAGAAATACTTCTGTAGAGAGATTCTATTTAGAGACTGCTTAGAGCTACAGCTAAAGAAAAAAATCCCCCTCAATCTCTGCTTTCACTTTGAAATATATGCTAGCATTTACAACACTGTTTAAACAAATATACTTCATTGTTTGCTTGAAGGACCTACTGTTGGGTAATTTTTAATGCCAACACACTTATCACCTAATGTTTTCATTTAGAATTTACCAGGACTTCTGCTGGTTGACATCTGGTGCCTTCATGAGATGCACTAATTTTGAAATGGGAATCCTCAGCCACCCGAGAACAGTGAACTTTTACGAAAGTCAAAATGCTTGGAGAACTGTGATAATCTTCTCTTTTCATATAGCTCTGGATTTTTCTCTCTCAAACATACAACTGAAGTAGAACTTCAGCAGGAAAGGCAAAGAGGCTAAACAGACTTTCTGGAAAAGTGCAAAAGTTCTTTTTCTGTTGTAGTATAGCTAATAATTTGAGGTAGCGAGAAGTGCATCTACTTCAACCCAAAAGATAATTGTTTGCTACTGATCAACCTTACTAACAATATAAAGTCACAAGGGCTGGCCTAAGGGTGTGGCACAGCTGTTTCTGTTATTCATATTTGTATAACACTGCTTTTATTGTTATCATGGCATTACTCTTCATAGAAACACTAAGTAAAAACATTTCATGGCATTGGGGTCTGTAACAACAAAATAATTCTCCATCGTTTAATTTCTCTAATAGGAGATATAATATGCATTTTTAATGGTGAGCAACAGATGCAGAGGAAAATCCACATATTAAACCTTAGACACAAAGACACCAACCATCACAGAACTTCCTGGTGTTACGCATTTGCCCACAAAGAACTAAACGTTGTCGTTGCAGAGCAGATGCAGATGGTGGCAGAGTTTTGGTGACATTTGCATCCTCAACCTAGAAAGTTGGCTTACCTCCAGTAAAGCCTCTTTGTTTTTATCATTCATTTCTTTGCTTTCATTCTTCCCTTTGTTTGCCAGGTAGAAATTCTAATTAAGACACAAAAGAAATTGATGTTCATTATAAAGACAGCAATACAAGTAACTAGATCACTACAAACCCATTCAATAGTTACTCAGTCTTTCAATATTGAGTACCCAAGCCAGCAGATGCAAGAGGCAGATGCTTATGGACTCTTCTTACAGAAGAGCTGCCTGCTCATGAATTTTAATTCTTTATTTTGAATATAATTCAAAAGTAATACAAAATTACTTTTGCCTATGTATACACAGCCTTCCAAAATTTTAAAAACACTGGCTTATGTTTTTGGCTGTTTTTTCTGGATCAATGGGTTTGATTTTATCGTTCCAATTTTCACCACTTCCTATATTATTACAGGCAGTAGAGAACATAACATTTTATTGCATGCTGATATACAATGAACACAATGCAGTATCAAAAAGCTAGAAAGCGTTTTTCCTAACAACCCAATTTGGTAATTTGCACGCTTCCTATCTGGCACTCTGTCTATAACTCAGCTCTTAATTTTTAATAAAAGTGCTTATATGCCAAAGCCTTTATCCAAAGTTACTACTTTCTACTTTTAAACCCCTGCTCATGTTCTGCAAAGTATTTTTATGCAATGAAGAAGGTATTCAAAGATCTAGAAGAAATCAGAAGAAATGATCACCATGATATCTTGGCACGTGCTCCAGCCTACTGAAACAAAAGCCTATACTTTGAAATGACCCTCCGCTTCTGTGACAGAGGGCTGTGAAGCTGCAGCCGCCCTCAGAGGACCCAGTGCCTGTCTGCCCCTGCAAACAAGGAAGCACCTCATGCACACAGTTAACAGTAAAAATAAATTCACCCACTGTTAAACAGCAAAAACAATTTTGCATCCATCTGCATTGTAGGGATAGACAAAAGGACAGCACTTGGACATATGTGCAAATTCAGGCAGTGGGAAGGTAGCTCAGGAGCATGCTAGGACTTGTGTGCTGGAGCATGTGCAGGTGGCTTTGCTCAACAGCAAGCATGGCCAGATAGCAGAGCCTGGCTGCCTGCAGACAGTAAGGCAGCTAGGCATGAAGGAAGCAGGTAGATCACAGAGCTATGCCATGCATCAAGGAGCATTTGGATCTATGGGCTTGAGGCCAGAATGATAACACACAAAGTTCTCGTGTTTTATCATTTTCTAAACAGAAGTACATGTAGAAGAGGAGCTTGGGTTTGGAAAATACCTGATGCATGGGACAGTCTTACTGATTTCCCTGGAATTAGTGAAAAAGTTAAGTTTGCAGAACAAAGGGCATAAAACAAACACACACCATTGTCTAGGAAAAAGACAAAATTGTAAAAACCCGACAAATTTTGAAAGCTATCTACTTAAAAATTACTCCTAATTCTGTAATTCTTCAGCAATTCTGTAGGAAGAAAACTAAGAGTTTATCTGACTTTTCATCTCTCTCCATTTTTTCATGTCTCAAGACTATAAGAATGTGGCAACATATTTGCATGCCTAGAACTCCACAAGGACTAAACTGCAACACAAATGCAAACATTACCAAAAGACAAATGAGAAGTGTGTAAATGAAGGAACATGCTGTTGCTACAGTATAAGAAAGAAACAAACAAGCAGCAAATCTGCCCTGCCAGCATACCATGTTTGCAGCAACGAGGTTTATCTGAAGTGAAACCCTGCTCTTCCACGCAACCACATCTTTTTCAAGCAGTGCTGTGAACAGCTGTCTGCCAGAACACAAGCCTCATAGCAGACGGTTTTTGGAGGGGCACCAGGAGAGAAAGGGGAAGAGGTGTGGATGGTCTCAAAACCAGTTCTTTAAAAACTGCTTTCTTAAAAGTTCACATTAAATCAGACAGGGGACATCAGAAACACAGCCACCTGCAATTTGGCCTATGCTGATGCCATATCTGTGGTATGAATATAAGAAAAGAAACTTGAACATTCAATACAATAGACAGTTATGCTAGGAAATACAGCAATGTTCTTCTCTAGGATATGCAGCAGCACATAACTGGCTCCAGACTGCCTAGGCACATTTTTAGTCCATGGATAAAGGTAAGCAAACACTAAGGACCACAGCTTCGTGACTGTATCTGAAGACAGTGTTCATAGCAGAAAAAACCCAAACCAACTCAAAAGTGTGTTCTCAGTACAACCCATATAGCGATGCCTGCCTATGCAGTCCAAAACCATAGGTCTGACTGACATTGCTCCACTCATCCCACTGGAAAAAAAGATACTGTTCTAGGCAGCTGCAGCCAAGTCCTCTATACATGTGCAACAGCTCTTCTTGACAGGGAGCACTATCACAGCACTGCTGGCTTGATGTTGGCACACCCACTTTTGCATTGATGAAGGTATGAAGAGAAACCTCAGAGGGCACTGTTAGGCTGGGTTGGGCCTCCAGACTTTGGGACAGATTTGGAAAGTAGAGAGACATGCAAGCTTTAAGCCTTCTTCTTCTATAGATCATTATAAAGACACAGTACAACCCCTAAAATACACAATGAAGATTTATCAAGGTAAGTACACCTTATCACTGTCTCAACAAGGCTTGGCTCATCAGCTTTACTACCAGCGGGGAGAGCATTCATCTGGCTCAGTCAGCCTTCAGTGCACTGATAATAAGAAAACAAAGCTCCTCTGATTACAACCGATTCACATTCAGGCATCTGGCATTTATTTAACAGAAACACAGACCACCCTGTACTGACATAATCAATGGTAAAGAGAGAAAGTTTGTAATGATATCCATGCTGGATCTCTAACAACGCAGCTTTTTCATTAGGGAAACAGGGCTCTGTCACCTAAACCAATGTTACACAGATGTACACTGTCATCTTTCACCTGTCAACACACATTTCATTTATTACTGATTACCTCCTTTATGTCTCTGCCCTGAAATCTGGAAGTACATGGTACTTATTATTTGTCAGTGGCTAAAAACCTGGGGAGCAGACTGTACACTGTACTTGTTTTATCACTGTGTGGTCTCCTATTTTTGGTCAGAAGCATTCACCCTATAGGAGGCAAACCACATGTGTCCACAAGAGGTCATTCCAAGTCCAGTAGTCAAAGGTCATGATAAAAGGCAAGCTCTTTCCTGTCTGAGGACACCACTGGGAAACGTATGTTTAGTTTGGGATGTCAGGTCATTAATGGGACAAGATGTGGCTACAGGGCAGCGCTCTGCATATGTCTACAGATTTGAGAGTTAACTATTTTTTACGTTCAAAGGACAATGTCTTTCTCTTGATAGAGAGCTGAGCTTACTTAACAGGATGGATTCATCCTCTTGGGCTGGTAACATAAGAAAGCAAACATAAAGGGTTATTTTAACAAACAAAGAATGCTGGCACACTTTGTCATTGAGTTTGCTTTGTTTGCACTGTTTGGGTTATTTGCTGCAGAGATGAGTAGTCGAGTGGTTTTGCTGAATTATTCCCTGTGCCTACACACCCCAGACCAGCTGAAGCCGACACAAAGCCAGTTGCTCTCCCAGGCCATTCTGCCTGACTCAGACTAATGCAGAGCTACAGTGGCAGTTTTGACATGTACTGCTAGCCAGGTACGACATCCTTAAGAGACATTATGCCAGCATTTCCCCCGTGCTTATGCAGGACAGTGGCAAAACTAGCTGATGACCCATCTATGGCTTTACATTAGCAGGAAATTCCATATGCACAAAAAAAAAAATACTGTAAAGATTTTATAGCCAGCTTAAGTTAATTTTGTGCTTTGTACAGTAAAGTACCAGTAGTCTATGCATACAACCTTTCCACTTACGGATACAGCTGTCTCCTTTTTTGTGGAAAGGCTGGTAAAAAAATTCAGGCTGTATCTCTCTGTGCTGTGTAACCCTCAAACAGTGGAAGACAGAAGGTGTTTTCAATAGTTTCAAAGAACATCTCTGGTGGCACGCAAGCAAACAAACTTGGATCATGGTAGAAACAGTAGCCTTTACTGCACTGCCAAACTCTCTGATCAGTGTTCCATGTCTCTATACTCGTAAAAAAGAACTTCCTAAGTGAAACAGCACCTCTCTCATATCTTTAATCTTTTATCATACACAGTCCCATCCAAGCTGGAATGCAGCAGCTATTTGTCAGTACATAGCAAAAAGTAGGTGTTCAAGGCAGCATCCTTGCTCTGCTTGCCCTTCCACTTAGGTTGTATTTTTGCTTTCAAGCTATTGAAACTGTTTTTCCAGAAGATCTGCAAGGTCTGCAACAGCACAGAACAGATAGCGTGCAGCAAACAAGGCAGCTACTCCATACTCATGACTATCTTCTTTGTGCTATGAGCTGCTTGTTTACGCTCATCCAAACTGCACCCAGAATGAGGAAAGAACTGGCCAGCTCACATCCCATTTCAGCCCATTTCAACTGCGTACTGAATGCAGCACGGTTTGTGCAGAAAAAATAAAACAGAACACAGTCATATCTGCAACTTGTATCATGATGTGTCCCCTAAAAAATGCACATTAAAAATATTAGAAGATACGTATAATTGCTCTGAAGATCACAAATGTAAATAAATAAATGAAGCTAAAGGCAAAGCTCCTTTGAAGCCCCCAAAAATTGATTTTCAACTGTTTACTTGATTTTATAATGTTTGATGAAATTACTACAGCTGACTTTCATGCCTTAAGGATGATGGTCTTCATCATCAAAGAGGGAGGAACATGGAACAAATGAAAGACGTACATAAGCTAGGATGTAGCTAACAGCAAAGCACTTAATAGGCTGATTAAAAGTCACCTGCAAAATGGTTCAAATGTGTAAAGACTGTTTCTGTGTTACAGTTCCAAGGCAGAAAAAGAAAAATATCTATTGAACTAGCATCTTCAACTTGAAACTATACCATGGTCTGAGATACACTAATAGAGAGAGAAATTAAGATTACTAAACAGTGGGAGTACAGTGAAAAACACTTCCCTTTTCTCACTTCTGTTTCTTTGCGCATTTGCCAGCACACTCAGTAATCAGGTTCCCTGCCACCCTTCTATGTTTCCTTCACTGGGTAACAGTGGAGACAAAAGAAAAGCCTTGATTCATAAAGGTGGCCAAAGTGGTGAAAACCAAAAGTATCACCTGGTGGATACTAGCCCAATTTCACTGACTTCAAAATAAATATTCAAGTGTGACACTCACTACAGCTGTCCTGTTATGAAAGACATTACAAATTCTTACTCCACCTCCTTCTCACGTTGTTTAGTATTCTTGCTTTTCCAAAGAAATAAAATGTCAATTCAGTATATGGGGTCTCCATTGGAGGGTATAGCTCTCACTTTTGGCTTACATATGAGGGAGCAGAAGCATAAAGTACCCACTGTATAGATTTTCATTATTTTTCATAAATACTGTCCAAAAATAATAAAAAACAAAAAAACCACATGCACGTGGTGTCACCTGCACTGTTTGAATTTATCCTGTCTGCTTGTATCAGCAAAAGAAAAACATAGGAAATCAAAATCCATGTAAACAAAAGTAAAATATAGTGTTCTAAGAGCATGACCAGCATTTACAGTCAGGAGTTTATATTCAGCTGCCCCTTACAAATAACCCTGTTTAAATGAAGCAAAAGCATTTCCTATATTTTGCTTTTTTTTAGAGTCTCTTTTAGCTAAGAATTATTCTTTGAGCTTTTTGAAAAGAGGTGTTGTGACCTGACAACCTTTCCTTTCCAGAGTCAAGCACAGCATCACTCAACTGCATGACAAAGCATCACCTTTCTAAGTTATAAAAGTTTTCTTCATTTGCTCATGTACCAATATGTATTTTTGTTTCACTCTTTAGTCATAGACTTGTGACACTCCATCTCTGTAGGTGAATCACTGATGCCATTCATGGGAAGGTCTTTTACTGTGAGTTCCCTGCAGGTTAAATTATATCACGGTGAGGAAAGGGCAAACATGTGCCTATCTTCGTGAAGAGGGAGACATCTGAGGATTTTGCAGATGCTTTTTCTAAAATGTATTCCAAATACTTTAAAAATTTGTTTTCAGAAACAAAGCTGCAGAAAAATATTAGAGACTACTGCATGACAAGAGTGACAATCTTCAAAAAAAGCCACTGGCGTTAGCTGAGCAGCATGTTGCTAGCACAGACATAGAGGATAAATCCTGCATTTCAAAACCTCAGTTCCTCCTTAGAAAATGAAACACGTTCAATTAATTGCTGTTTAATGTATACCAGGTACATAACTAGTTCACAGAAAGAAACAATGAATATTGGCACAGGTCATAGACCTTCTCCAGAGGTCCACTTGTTTTATCAATGCATCTGGACATCTTTATAATAAGATTTTTTTAAAGCATTTAATTGTGTCAAACCTCTGTAATGAAAATTTTGTATCACTAATTTGTCTAAGAATAAATTGTAGGCACCTGGCCACCTTTGGAATTTGGCTCTTTTTTTCCAGAAAAATATCTGCAAGTTACAAAACTGTGAGATCTCCACAGACAACCTCCGACAGAATGAGCACTAAGTAAGACCAACACGGAATCCAACTGCTGCTGCATTACCACCACTGGCTATGTCAAAAAAAGCATTCTGCAATTTCTGTACTCACAAAATGAGTTTACGAGGCAACCTTGACTGAGCTAGGAGGAGGAGGCTGAATATCCTGAAAATACAGTATCAGAACACCGGATTTCAGTTTCCCATTGGTTACACCATAATTTCCATAAGTAGTTAGTTAGGTAATCATACACCTTGCCCGCCACCAACTCAGCATTTCTGCTTAGTTTATCTTTTCAGGGACTCCCTCCAGATCACGTATTTTACCATGTTTCATTATCTAGTGTGAACTCTCTCTATACAATACTGATTATTTTCTGCCAAAAAGAGAAATGGATGATATGACTGTACTATTCTGGCTGTCTCAAAATGTTTGAATTTACTAAGCCTGACAGATGGCTAGACTTTATTGCTGGCAAAATATTTCAATAATGTGATAGCCGCAACTGATCCAGTTTCCTTAGGCTGTTCATTTTAGAGTTTATCACAGAGGGGCTGAAGCTCAAGGACTGCAGACATGTTCAGATAAAGCTCAGCATGTCCTGAGATGGGAGGACAGAGCTACACTCTTATTCTGGTTTTGGTTTAGGTCATGTTTATTTCTAAAGTTCATTGCAATCAAAATGCCCAGAATCTTCATCAAAGATTTACATCCTATGGGAGGTTCACAGCCTTGCCCTAAGCCACTTGCCCAAATAACACTACTAGTGTACGAATCAAATGTACAATCGAACCTCTGCTGCTACGTATCTTTATGTGCATTAGAAAGTATGACATCTTGAGCCATCACGTGTGTTTTACTTCCAAACTTGGCTTTGCTGTTTCATATTAAAAATCAACATCAATCCACGTACACTGCAGGATAAGTTTTCTTTCCCTGACTGTGGATACTTGTTATGTTAATGAAGGAAACTTCCTCTCTGCAGGTTTTATTTGAAACACTGGCTCATTCTAAAAAAAAAAAAAACTTCCTAATGAGCAGCTTGGTGAGATTTGCTGCCAAATTATATATTTAACTAATTTTTTCGGCAATGCTGAATTGCTCATTTTTCTCTTGCTGCCCTCAGGAACAAACCAGATGCTCAGTGAGCTAACAGACCGCTGACAAGGGGAAAAGATCCAGTGCCCCAGAATCCATCAACTATATGTGCTAGGGTGTTTGTAAATACGGTTTTGACCACATATCACAAGAAATAAATCATTTGTGTATACACCTATCCTGAATAATTTGACGCAATTCAGTCTGCAGACCCTCTTTTTACAAAGTTAGTGTGCACAAGTTACTGTTCACCCAATTCTTCTCCCCAGTCTAAATGAAATCCAGATAAACTCTCTGTAGTACTCAGCATACTCTTTATGAAGTTTCACATACAACTGGCAATAACAACCTTCAAGGAAATGTTGATTTTCATCAGTAGAAATAGTGGAGAAACTGTAGTAATGACAAAGGCCAGGTTTTTATGGCTGTGCCATCTCACCCCAGTTCTGAGACCTGTGCCTAAGCAACAGCTTGTACCAGCGGAGAACTACATGCTTCATTTTTTACCACTGCAGATGGGACTTTAAAATAGTATCACAAAAGAACAGAAAGCACTAATTTTCAAATCCTTGCATTCAACATTGTGGCGTTTTTTTGTTGAAAGTACAAGTTTTGTTTTCTCTAATTCCAAACTGACAGAGTTGAAAGCAAATTAATAATGCAATAGGCAGCATACAGACTAAATGACATAATTTTAGACTCTTATCCAAATACCATGTTGGCTTACCTGGGGATTTTTAAATAAAGCATATTTTTCACTTTTTTCCAAAAACAGAATCTTATTCTCTGTGTCTCGAGTCCAGTCTGATAACACTTCAACAACATTTTCATGGTCTTCAAAAAACCTTTCTGGAGAGACAGAAAAGGTAATGTAAGACACTCAAACTCTCTCTCCCCTCTCCCGAGGCTGCAGAAATTCCTGTGTAAGAATGTAATCATTATCTGATGTCCACTCGAAGCTGGACAGCCCAGCACTCTTTTCCCCTGCACAGAAGGGAGCAAAACCACATGAAAATAGTGTCATGTGGAAGGGCAAACCAGCTACAGAAGATGCCTTATGTAGCCCTGGCATGCTCCTGGATTCCTCCTGCATCTCTGTGCTGTTGCCCAGAGCGCTACAAAGCGCTATATAAAACCCAAGTAACAGTTTGAAGGGTAAACAGTATCTTATAGTCCAGGTTAGCCGTAAAATAATTCTCAGGTTGTAACACTAGTTATTTAACACTAATTTTTTGGATCTGTCACTGCCTTGACAAACATAGTGAAATTCACATGGCTCCTTCATTTTGTGTAAAATAGAATAATGGAAATGGTGGTACGCAAGGAGCCTTCTGCAGCTCAGAGCACAAGACGAATGGGAGACCCACTTCTACAGCAAGAACAGCCCAAGTATATTCCTGCAGCATCCCTCAGCTTAAGAGACTGCGATGTTTCAACACCAGTGGACACATGGGCAAGAGAAATGTTATTAATTATGTTTTCAAGATTACCAATAGCATAGGATGCACTATATCTATTTGCTATATGCTCTGTCACTACGCCACTTACCGATCTGCAGCTCTGGGTACATTTCATAGAGACACCAGTCGACGTTGCAGTCGCAATGGGTTTTCTCAAAGAGGTTGTCTAAAACATCCCGTGTCACCTGACGCTCATCCACCATTAGTGACTTTGTGCTGTTATCGTACATGTGCACCTTGACAACAAGCTGAATACAGAGTCACAGAAGAGTCAGTTAATTTCAGAAGCAAGTAAAAGGCTAGTCTGAATCTGCTAACACAGATAAGAAAGATTAAGGCTGAAGGTTATTACTGATTCAAAGGCACCCTGTCCCACAGTGAGCTCAGGGAATAAAACAGCTTGGAAGCTTTCACGTTATATTGCAACCAAAATAAACACCTTTTCTCAAAAAACGGAAATTGAACTTTGTCCTGTACATGACTTCAGGAAAGGCGAACTTGCTATGGAGAAAAAGCAGAAGTTAATCTCCTCTCTAAATCTACTAGATGTGCAATTAAGGAAAATGCTTGTAGGGAAAGCAAGTACAAAAGGACAGTGTCCTTAATGCAAGCTAGAAATGCAGAAAGTTTACTTTTAAATGAGAAAAAGAATGGAAGAATCTTGCCATGCCAACAGACTAACCTGAAATCAGATTGTACTAAGATGGGCAGCAGTCCAACACCCATCAATAAGCAAACAGATGAGTTACTTATATTGACCAAATTAACGTAAGATACTCATTATTTCTTCATATTGTGAAGTATTTGTTAAATGAGAAACAGCGTGCACTTTTTTCCAGAGAGGAACAATGCAAGAAAATGCTGAAGTACATAAAATGTGATAAAGAACTGCAAATACATTATAAGGAAAGTATTTAAAATGCTCCATTAGTACTGAAAACAGAAGAAAAATTGTCTAAGGATCTGTACATGGAAACTGCAACTAAACTGGTGAGTTGGGAGGACTTCTCCATATAGTCTTGGTTTTAACCGTATAGTCCTTATTTTAAAATGTGTGCGTAAGAAGCTTTGGTACTATAGAGACAATCTCTGTTAAAGATCAGGTAGAAGCAGAGAGTGATCATCCCCAAGAGAAAATCTACACTATCTCTGAAAAGTAAAAGCAAATGTAATAAAAAATGTGATCCTGCTTTGATTCCAACCCTTGTAAGTATATTCCTCTCTAAAATAAGCAACTGAGCCTCAGTGCAGATTATAGAGAAAAAGAAATGTTGTACGTGCATAATCTACAACATATCTGGGGAAAAAAAAGGGTATTTTTGTCTGGTTATAGTTGACTGCTCAGAAACATGCATGCAGCTTCCAACTGCACAGAATCACAGAATGGTTGAGATTGGAAGGCACCTCTGCAGGTCACCTGGTCCCAACCCCCTGCTGAAGCCCATTGTCCAGGACCCTGTCCAGACGGCTTTTAAGTGTCTCCAAGGAGGGAGACTCTACAACCTCCCTGGGAAACCTGTGCCAGCGCTCAGTCACCCTCACAGTGAAAAAGTGTTTCCTGATGTTCAGACAGAATCTCCTGTGTTTCAGTTTGTGCCCATTGCCTCTGGTCCTGTCACTGGGCACCACTGAAAAGAGCCTGGCTCCATCCTCTTTGCACCCTCCCTTCAGGTATTTCTATAGATCGACAAGATCCCCCTGGAGCCTTCTCTAGGCTACGCAGTCCCAGCTGTCTCAGCCTTTCCTCATAGGAAAGATGCTCCTGTTCCTTAATCATCTTCGTGGCCCTTCATTCATTGGGATGGAACTCTCTTGAGCTTGGAGGAGGTGATCCTTGAATATTAACCAGCTTTTTCGGGCCCCTCTTCCCTCCAGGGTCTTATCCCATGGGACTCTTCCAAGCAGATCTTTGAAGAAGCCAAAGTCTGCTCTCCTGAAGTCCAGGGCTGTGAGCTTGCTTTTCACCATCCTCCCTGGCTTCTGCCCTCCACTTTCGGTAAAAGAAGACCAGTTTTCTTGACAATTATTTAGTCAATTTAGAATTCAAGAATGACATAGTAATTTCATTAGAGTGACATAGCCACAAGAAGATTAAGCCTTACTTCTACCCTATGGTTCCAAATATTCAGGGTGGAAAAAAAAAAGTGGAAAAAAAAAAAAAGTCTTCAAAATAAATGCTTCCTCCCAAAGGAGAATTGCTAACATTGCAAGGAAAAGAGGGTGACCAATGAGCAGTCATAAGTTTAGTTATAGAGCTTTCCAAAGACAACATTGGTGAAATCCTCCCAACACATTCTCTCAGAAGTAGCATTTGTACATGAATGTAAAGTGTTCTGTGGGAACCATCTCAAGTCTGGACACTCCCAAATTTATTGGAAGCTTCAGTTCTTCTTGGAAGCCCTGCAGGCTCTGATCTCCAGCCCTTCCCATCTCCTATTTGAGCAAGACTGAAAGGTCATGACTGTTTTTTCTTCACATCCATTTTTCAGAGTTACTGAACATCTGCAGCTTCTGTTAAGTTCAGCTGGAACACTAGCTTAGCATGAGTGGACATAATTACATGACACACTGTGTAGACACTGGCTGGAAGCTTTCTAATTTGTTGGTCTAAAATAATTTCTATTATCCTTGTACATCACTATACGGCTGTGAAAAGATTTAGCAAGAAGACCCTCATTAATTTAATTGGGATTAGCTAAATCCACATCCACTGTAGAAGAAAAGTTTAATACTTCTGGAATCAGCACAGCATAAGTAAGCAACATTTTAAGGTACATTCCACTTTCTCTAAAGCAACCTATCAGAACAGTGGGCTTTGCCCCAACATTGGGAAAAAAAGAGGCAGAGCCTTCCAAGTCCTCTTAAAAATAAGTCCCTCAGAGGTAGCATTCTCTCAGAGACTTCTCTTCAGGTGGATGACAAGACAGCTCCACAGAATATCTTTAGACGTCTCAAGTTACAGACAAAATATGAAAAAGCCTAGCGATTTTATTAAGAACTTTATTAATGAGAAGAATGATAATAGATACTTAGCTGGTAGCTCTTAGGGTAGCATTTCACTATTTTAAGGCTCACCTTTTTAACTTTGGCTTCCTTCAGTTTCTCCAGTGCAAGTTTAATCTTGTCAGCTTTAGCCTGTGCCTCTTGTTCTTCCTGAAAAGACACAAGATATTTGGTATACTTCTTGTTAAGTAAGGCCAGCAATTTATGTTTACTTGAAAAGACTTGTTCCTTTTTTTTAATATCCAGAACATAAGGCTTTTCATGGGAAACTTCATAGTTAGAGGGAATCCCCAGCCTTCCTTGAGCTAATATCCTCCAGACAAAGCTTTGATTTACAAGTCCAGCACTTCCTTTTGTTGCCCAGTCATGCAGCTCTTACATGATCTGTTCCTCAAATGCTCCAGGAATGCCTGAAAACTGGACTCTTCTATGTTTCCATATGGGTTACAGCTGATACAAAAGAGAAGATGAAGGAAGATCTAGCCCGAATGAAACAGCCATGTGGATGCAGCCACTTGGAAGAAAACTCGCCTCTCAATAGGGTTAAGAGAACTAGAGTTTTTAGGATCTTACTGAAAACTTGGCTTGCAATTATACCACTTACAATTTTACACTTTCTGTTAAGTACATTAATTTACTTGAATTCTTTCACTTGCCACATATGAGCTCTTATTGCACGCATACTTACTGAGAGGAACACCTCCTTAAATTGGATGATATCATGGCTTTTTATTCTAGTAATGAATCTATTTATATTAACACAGACACAGTTAGACAGCGCACTCAAATTCATTCCAGTTTTTGCTGAATGCCACAGTAAGATTCCTAAAAATCTCAGTATCACCCGGCTCTTCTTTTACAAAGCAGCTGTATCAATATCATGCCTCTCTCAACATCGGTGAGGTTTGTGATCCAAGAAGACTCTGGATCCCCAGCTGCTGAGAGTTTTAGGTACACGTACCAGATACCAGTGCCTACTGTTGCCTCTGTGACTGGTGTATAGATGTGACTGTTTCTTTTTTGCCATCTATCTTCCAGTAGTTTCCCCCAGTCACATACAGAGTTGGAAGAGTACATTTTGGACAGCAAGTAACTGTGGTTCCTGGGGCTGCCTTGGACTGTTAGTACTACTGGAGGGTTTGGTTTCTTTCCAACTTTAAATCCCTGCTCCCCCTATTGAAAACTGTCTTGTCTTTGCTTTCTTGCCTCTTTGCTGATTTTTACTGTCCCTGTTGCGCGCTCTCTCTTTTGCAGTTTCCTTTGTTTTAAAGGGGTAAGATTTTGTGCTACGGTACTCACAGGCACACCCAACTTCCAGTCAATGACTGTGGGAGAAATTTCCTGCCCTGCTTCCACAACAAGATTTTTCTCTGTGTTACCTTCAGCCTCCATTTTCTATCCTAAAGTTGTAATTTTAGTGGTCTTCAGACTAAGAGAAACCCAGAATGGCTGTAACTCATGGGAGATGCACTTGCAAGGAACCAGGCCTAACTAAGCACTGCCACCACTTCCTTCTTACAGAGATATCATAGAATAATAGCAAAAAAAGAGCTAAGAAGGTTATCTTATTCATCCCAAACTTTGAGGCAGGTTCAACCATAACTAAAGTACTCCTGACTGACATCCCTCTCACTGAACTAAACATCTTCTGTTTTATCACTGCTTCCCCTGGATACTAGCAGCATCCTTTAGGATGTCAAAAATACAAAGTGAGGTGTGCAACCTGAAAGAGATGGCTTCAAGCATGTTTGCTGTTGTCAAATTCTCCAAATACCAGGCAATCAATTAAAAAATGTCTTTTTTTTTTTTCTCCACAGGTATGGAAATCTGCATTGCTACAGCTCAGAGATGCTTAACTTCGAGAATCCAAAAATAGCTTCTGTAGTTGAACGGATGCTGTTGGACAAAAGTGGCTTTCGCAGTAAGGCTGACTGTTCTACAGAGGGAAGATCATGCAGCCTCGCACACTATGGCACTCCCCTTACCATCTCAAAACACCTCCCTGCAGGAAGCAGGAAAAGCATCTTAACCAAAGTGGTTGACTGTGGTGTGGGCAGGCTTTCTGCTGAAAATTTTAGGCAGGTATAACTCAGGCTTCACCTGCATGCGACCTGTGTTGAACAGAGTTCACACATTGTACCTTCATGTTTTCATAACCTTTGTCTGCCTTCATGTAGAAAAAGGAAGTGATGCAAAGTAAATAAGCTATCAGATGCAAAATTTTAGCACTGTTAAAGAAATGCTTTGACAGGCAAAAAAGTTTGTTTTCGCACTACAGTATCATCACCATGTTTTCTGGATCTTCAAACAGAAGCACATAAAAGTCATCCACATAATGTCATAGAAAATGTAGAAGTCTTATTTAGCTTAAGGACAGTTTTAAAAAGAAACGTCAGAGTTGATGGAAACCTATGAGGCAGCTCTATGCTTCCCTGAAAGAAAGGCTGTACTTCTTAATTTTGGCACACTTAAAGGTTAGAGAATTGAGACTTAGTATCACAGGTGCATTGGGAATAATTAACAGTATTCTTATTTGACTACAGACAAGCAGAAGTGTTAAACAAAACATCAGCCTTGATTGGCTCAAGAATCACTTATCAAGAATCCTGGCTAACAGGAACATGGATTTTGATGAAACAAAAAACATTCCATTTACAGCTGCAATTCATTCTACTGAGCAGAAATGTCATGTAAAAGCAAATACCAACCAAAACAGTAAATACTAATTTGAAATCAGTTCTTTCCATATTAATTTTAAATGGTTATTACCCACATCATTCACACTGAAACTTGTGTAATAGCCCTATAGGCAATTTTGGACAGTAAGCCACACAATGGGTATGCCATCAGTATTTGAATACAGCCTGTATCAGAAAATGAGGCAAGGGCTGCAGGAGAAAGCAGAACCAGTGCCTTAATGAGGAAATCAACTACTGCAGACAGATTCCTTAGAAATGCCTCTACCTCCTGTTCCCATCCTTCTCTGTCCTCTCCCTGTATCTGGAAAGAGACCAGAAAACACTACTAGAGATTTAACTCAGCACGTAATCTCAGAGGAACACTTTGAGGGAGACAGAAGTGACTTCCAGCTACGTTTTTGCATATAGAATTCCAATTGTGTTTAGCAAGTATATCCTCTTTTTGCTCTGAAATCTTGTTTGACCCTCAGGTAATGCAGGATGCCAGCTAATAGAGAACTAGCTCAGTACAAGACTCAAGGGAATGAACTGTGCAGCACTGTTGATTTCAGTGAGCTTTAGATCACAGCATCATAAAATTGCTGGTTGGAAGAGAGGTCTGGAGGTCCATAGTCTGGCTCTCTGCCCAAAGAAGGACTATCACCAACACTAGATCAGGTCAGCCATGATTTTGCCTGGCAAAGTTTGGAAAACCTCCAAAGAAAGAGAATATGTGATCTCTCTGGGTCACCTGTTCCAGTGCTACACCACCACCTGAAATGGAAGAGGTTTTCCTAATGTCCTGTCCGAAACTACAAAGCTACAACATGTAGCTGTCGCCCCTTGTTATATGACCTAACACTACCATGGAAGAATTTGGCTCCACCAGCTTTGTAGCTACCCTTCAGGTATTTTTAGGCTGTCATTAGATCACTCCCCAGCCTCCTTTGTCAGACTAAAGAAGCCCAGCTCCCTCAGCCTGTCCTCACTGGCCCCTGATCACTCCATGCCCCTGGCCATCCCAGTAGCTCTCTTTTGGACACTCTCCAGTATCTCCACATCCAGAACGGGCTGCAGTATTCCAGGTGTGGCCTCACCAGTGCCAGGAGAAAGGAATAATGGCTCCCTCAGTCTGCTGGCCGTGCTCCTCCCAACACAGACAAGTTTCCCATATTGAGATGACCTTACACTCATGGATCTTATTCAATGTGGCATCCACCAGGATGCCGTCTCCTTTTCAGCAGGGCTGCTGCTCAGCCTGTCACCTCCCAAACTGTACAAATGCATGAGGCTATTCCACCCCAGGTACAGGACCTTGTACCTTGCTGGGTTTCTGAGGGTTTTGCTGGCCCAGTCCTCATGTTTCTCAAGGTCCCCCTGCACTGAAGTTCTGCCATTCATCTTGTCAGTCAGTGCCCTTAATTAAAAGCATCTTCAGCCCATCTGCAGATGATTTTTTATGTCATCGCTCAGGTCACAGATGAAAATGTTAAAGAATTCAAGCCCCAGTGTTGAACCCACTTGTTACCAGCCAGCATACCATTGATTACTACCCCTTGAGTCTGGCAGTTTGGCCAATCTCAGCCCACCTAACCAACTACCCTTCCAAACCATAATTCCTCAGCTTCCAAACCAGACTATTTAGAAGCTTGGTACTTCCTTAAAGGTCATGAGTCTAAATCAAGATGTTTGTAGAACAATGGATAGAACTTATCTTGATAGCATCTTTTCTGTATCAATTATACTAGTTAAATAAAAGATGTCAGCTTCTGAAGGTGTCTAGTTGCTGTTTTTGCAAATGTTGATATTCCTTTAAGATAGGAAGTTAACTATTATCTTTGAGATACAGAAAAATGGCAAAGTTCCTCCCACTTGTTTACAACTTTCACTCTTCAAACAGCACTGAAAGGTCCTATGCAGCAAATGAAGCTTTATCCAGTGAATCACTTTTTGAACAATCAGAAAGGTCCTCTTCCTACCAAATTTTCTGTTCCTTTTGCTAAATATGTTTGCTGTATGATGCTAAACACAGAGGCAGCAGTGATGTTGAGGTGATTCATATTCAGTTTGCGTGGACTTTTAAACTGCAATGAATTGCCCATGGTTTTAAGCAAAACTGACCAGTACAGTTCTACATGGGCTGACAGAGCACTTTTCATGTTCCTTAAAATCTTTCCATTCCCTAAATGTAATCATCTTCTCTCTGTCATAGTTATTATGTGTATGAATACCAAAAGAGATACTTTTAGATCTTTCATGATTTCAGATTCATGTTTTTGGGGCTGCATCACTCCTCTAATGCACGTACTCTCCCCACAGGGCTGTGACAGGACAGAATTCTTACATTATCTCCCTCTCCACAACCTCATGTCAAAGAAATGAACTTCTAATGCTTCTACTAGAAATATCATGTTTGATTTCAGTTGTTAAAACAGCTCTGCAAGAAACACAAACATCGAGGAGGTTGTGGTAAGTCTGAAATTTTAGTGTACAGGTAAGCCAACTGTTTATAAATAGTACCTACTGATAACTTCGACACCTCCTAAGTAAAGAGCATTTGTCCCATATCGCAGATGGCCTTCAATACTTCCCTTCAAAGACAAGACCAAGAAGAACAGAGTGATTCTGTGTTGGGATTAGGAGAGGTACTTCTTGTGCTCAGCCTTACACACAGTCTCCTAGCAAATGTTGAGTTTTACACAGCTGAACAGCTTTTCCTATTGCAAGAAATCAGTTAGGCCAGGGATGGATCTGGGAAACGTCTACAGAACCATCTCATCAGTACCAATAGCACAGACTGCCACGAACAAACACAGTGACATCTTCACAAAATGGTGGGATCTTTAGCCATGCGTTGCACTGATGCCAAAGCCAAGTTCTCTATGAGAAGGTATTAACTGATCAGCGCTTATTAAAAAAATTCCATGACAAGTTTTCCATTACAGTAAACCATTTGCAATGACTTATTGGGCTATCAAAATGATGATTAGAAAGGTGAAGGAATGGGCAATAGGTCAAGGAACAGGCAGAAACTGCTGAGCCCACAATAACAGAAAACTCTCACTCTACAGTTCATGCATGTTTCATCATTGCAGAACCTTCCCAAGATGTTTCTACCTGGAATATCTACTGTTGTTCCAATGCCAAATGCCACTTGAAAAATTACAAGATCTATTGAACGCTTAGAACAAGGTTCCACCCAGGCTTACCTGTGTGAGTGGCTCAGGAGGAGGTGGTGGTGGTGGTGGTGGAAGGTCTAAATCAGGGTCTGGAGGTGGAGGGGGCAAGTCATCCTCAAACCGTCCGGTAATGGTAACATAGGGGCTTGATTTAGAATAAATGTCACTATCCAAGCCTGTTGAAGGCTGAGTGACTGTACTTTGCTGGTTGCCAGAAGCTTTCTGGGCTTGTAAAGTTCTCTGTTCAACATCATTTAAGTCTGCTACAAGATCAGCCATTAAAGCATCCAGGTCTTTGTCCTCTAGGGCACTTAGGGATTCTGTAGAGAAAACCACAAAATGTGTCAGAGAGTGCAATGCAAAACGCTCTGTTTCCAGTTCAGTGGAGATTAAATTGCAGAAGACATGGTTACTGTAAGATATAAGGGTTATGGGAAAGGAAACAACATTTTAAATGGGTTCAAGAAAACAAACGTGTTTTAGGAATAGCCATTAATCTGGTCATACTGAAGTTCAGAGTACAAGGAACTCTATGAATACAAATTAAACAGGACAGGAAGCTTCACTTTCGGTGATACAGTCTCAGGCCCTTAAGATGTTATGAAACCTGGCCCTGATCCAGCAAGGTTTCTGGGCACATGCTTAGTGATATGGATGCAAGAAATTCCAGTAGCTCCCATTAGACTATTTACTTATCTTAAGTTAAGTACATACATAAATGCTTAGCAAGTTTTGGTATAGCACACAACAAAGCGTGTAACTGAGGCATAGATCAAGAATAACTTCATATATTACTACAATTCTACAACTCTAAAATTAACATGAAGTAGAATCAGAGAGTTCTAAGACACAAGAAATTGTGCCTGGTACGATATCATTTGTAGCACATCAGTAATGTGATCAACATCTGTGACATACCTCATGCAATATGCAGGGTTTTGAGAATCTTTTAAGCAAAGAACAAACAAGACAGTCTCTTTTCAAAAGCATCTTATCAACCAGATAGACATACTGTAACTTTTGCTTTCTGTCTTCTACTCTGTCAGAGTATAAGATAAAATCCTATACTGGAACTTCATACACAATTTCTTCTTTGGTTGTTTGAACTAGCCATGGTATAAGAGATCCTGTGGAATAATATCCCATAGGATGATTTAGATTTCTAGAAGAGAAGGGTTCTTTAAGAACCAAAAGATTCAGTGGTTTAAATCTCTTTGAAGAGTCTAGTTAAAAAAAAAAAAAAAAATCACAAATTGGGAAAGCTTTAAGTGGGATTTTGGAAAGAGATGGAGAGCGCTGAACTAGATACTCAAAAATGCTGATATAGTCCAACAAAGAATAGATCATTCATCAGACTAAGTGTGAACATGTCACTAGACCATCTCAGTTTACTCTGCTTTACCTGTTATGCTAACAGAGTATTTTCATAAGCTTTTCTTTTCAGTGGGAAAGTTGGCTTATGATCCTCTCTATTTACATACCTCTACCCGTTTTGCTGGTAGAGGCATTAGGTAGCTTAATAATGAACTGATTCTGGGACAAAAACACAGGTTAAAACCAACTCAGGCAAATGCAAACAACCAGCCCCCAGTAAAAAGAAAAAAAAAAAACAAAACACAAACAAAACCAAAGGGAGGGTTCTTTTTTTAAACTCAGATAAACTCCCTCATTTGGTTCGTCATACAGACTCAACAAGCAGCTGTACATGCAAAAATGACAGTGCAAACCAGAATGAGAACAAGCAATGTAAAGTAGAAGCAGTTGAAGCTGATACTTCCACTGGACAAAAATGCTTATGCATCTCTGACCTCATACTGAGGAACTTGGTCTTCTATTAAGTTAAATCTAAAAAAGGTTGCATTTTAGAAAGTAATTTGGGAGACTTCTCATTTTTGTTTTCCTCTACACTCAGACATTTTAAAAAGTCCGACTCCTATATAAGACTAAGCGATGTCCCTTTAAAAAAAAATTGGCCCCTTTGAAGTTTCCTAAATTGAGACACACAAATATACCTCCCCCTCCAGCAAAACCGTTTTTTTTTTGTTTCGCATTGGGTTTTTTTTTTGATCAAGGGTGTTTGAAGTTTTTCTTCTCATCTGTTGCTGTGAGTTATTTTCAATAAGCATAAATAGCATGAAAAGAGTCCATTCAGCTACTTACCGTTTAAATCTTTAAAACCAACTGTAAAGCTAAATTCATTGTTGGACACTTTGGGGGATGGAGGTTGCACAGTCTCCACTCCTAAACTCTGTTATGGTAGAAGAAAAAAACAGGTATCTGATGACGTAATCACTATTACAGACATTAACATTTGTAAATCAATTACCTGAATTTGTCTAATAAAATCGATTCTAATTCAAGGAACAGAATGACACACACTAGTTTCTGGGATTATGCTTAGACTGGTAAACTAAATAGGGCCAGGATAAGGGTTCAAGCACTGTTCCACAATCATGCCAAGTGTTTAATGGTTTGCATGCCTCTCAATACAATGTTGACTCATGCCAACTGCAACTCTTGTCAGGCAACACCCAGGCTTGGTGTGGGGAACAGCAGAGGCTAGGGCTGTTTCTAATAAAGACAGTGGATAAAGCCAAACTGATTTTTAGTCTTTGGTGGTTTTTTTGAAGGGGGGCACGGGGAGGGTGTTGAAAGAGTTTAGCTGTGTACACATTTGAGCTATGCAGTGCCATTTGCTCCAGAGTGTTTTATTTACTAATATAAATGTAACCTAGCTGTTCCTTTCTCATGCTGTTTGAAAAAAAAACCAACCAAACACAACAAACAACAAAACAAGCTGCTGTTTGCAATGTAAACTGCAAATCTGCATAGTTAAATAGAGAATTCCTAGTCTGTGGCTTGTTGTTTAGGAAGCAGGCGGGGAACCAGTGCTTCACAAGTTAGGAAAAGTGCATACAGTGGAGATAGAAAAGGATAAATTCTCCCTTCCACAGTGAGGAAGGTGATAGCTCTAATAAGCAAACACTGTAGACAAGACTGGAAGGAATTTCAAGGGTCTGTCTAGACCATGCACCTGTTCTAAGTTATAGCTGGGTCATACCTGAAAAATGTATACCTAACCTGATTCAAAAAGCTTCCTATTAGATAAATCATCCCCTCTGGCAATCAGTTCCACTGCTTCACTATTGAGATCACTATTCCTGCCACCACACCTTTCTTGTGATGCTCATCCTAAACGTCCTTTCCTGCAGCTGAACACCATTCGCTGTTGTCCTACTCTCCATGGACATGAGGAACCAAGTACTTCTTTCTGCTCTGATGCTGCCTTTTATGTATTTTAAGATTATCAGTCTCCTCTTCTCTAGACTAAACAACCTCGTGCAATCTTTTCTTATAGGTCATGTTTCTTTTCCTTCTCATCATTCCCATTGCTTTCCTCTGGATTTTCTCCAGTTGACCATCCTTCTCCTCAAAATGCAGTGCTAACACTGGTCACAGTTGCCCTGTTGAGGTCTTACCAATGCTGCGCAGAATGGAAGGATTACTTCATATATCCCACAAACCATACCCTTGTTCATACATCCCTGTGAGGTTTGTCTAGTGGTGCTCATACTCTGTTTGTACCAGAGGCATTTACATTTCTTAGAGTTGGCTGAAACTGACAGACATTTTCCATGAAAATTAATGCAAATGTTTTTCTTGGCAGTTCTTTTCACCTATTTCCCACCAGGACATGTTGATTTCTTCTGAATTTAAACAAAGTTGGAAACCAAAGCAGTGATAACTTTAAACACTGTTTCTGTGTTAATACTCACTCTCATAAAAATAGACACGGTATAAATAGGGGAAGAGGGAGAAATGAAGCACATGATATAGTTTTCCTGTGCCCGAGAAAAAAAAAAAAAGAGAAACAGGGAGGGCACAAAATGTATTGATGAAACAGACTGTAAGAGCATAAAGGAAATATTTTCATTACTAATCTAACAAGAAGTTGTAATATCTCACAATGACCATAAAAGTGCAGGAAAAAAAATGAAAGTATATGCAAAGGGAAATTAAAGAGAAAACAATCAAAATGCTAAAAAAAGTTTAAAATTAAGTACATAGAAATAGCAGAAAAGCCCAGTTCTGAATTTGCATTTATTTTTCAGCCTTGTTATGCAATGTGAAGGCATCTCTGTGTGCTTCTATCATTTACGCTTACTTTAGGAACAGACAAACAGATTGGTGAAAAAGGGTGATAAACTATCTACAGTCTCATTTTGGAAATTAAGAGTCTAAAGGAATTAACAGATGCAAGTCTGTTAACTGAAAGTCTTCAGGCTTTCACACATGCCTGTCTCCTTCTCCCACACAATGTGCAGGTAAGAGGTGATGCCAGCACTTTAGAGAGGAGGAGGAGTCAGTCTCCATCTCAGGAACATGTCCCATCACACCCAGTACTGCACCGATGAGCGGAAAGAGAAGAGGCTCTCTCTCTTACTCTCTTCCCATCACCTGCACTCGTTACAGTGCTGTGTCCAATCTGAGGAGGTAAAATTTATCACAAGCAGTCTTTTGTTATTTTTCAAGGTATAATAATGAAATGAAATTACCCTAAAAACCCCCCTCTTTATATACATATATATATAAAAAATAAATATGCATGGTTATAAAAAGCCCTTAAAAAGCAGAAAGGCTACCAAGGGGCTAAGTATTGTGATTTGACAGCTAAGAACGTCATGTGAAATCTTGGCTTTCACACAGTTTAAGCATAATTCTTATTCTGTGGCTCAGAATTATTGGTATTTAATTTGGCAAGCACTGGGACTCACCAGGAGGAAAGACCCTTCAAAACAGAGGCTGTAAGCAATCAAACTCACACAGAATCCAAGATGACAGCTTAAGTGTTTTCAAGCATGCATTTATTAAAATACAACAAATTTATTGACTTTGTGGGTTTTTGTTAAAAATAAAATTGCTCCTTTCATCAGGTTTTGCAGGACGTATTCCGTGACTATAGGTCTAGAAATAGGCTCATGCTGTTTTATAGTTTCCTCTCAAAAGTGTATTCTGCACTGGCAATAATGTCTCTATAAATTCTTGAATGCCACCCTAGCTGTAACTTAGTATTTTGCCATATCTAAAGATTACTCTTATGCACATATTCAAAATGTTGCTTTCATTTCCACAGTTTACATTTGACACTCAGGCTACATCCCATTTACCCATGTATGCAAAGCACTCAAACCTGAAATTTCTGACTCAAACTCTTCCTGTTTTGACAGAATCTTTCAATTTCTTGGGATCGAGTCCAGAGGAATTTAAATTGCTTATTTGTTTTTTTGGAGAAGGCATCTTTCATAAGCAGTTAACTCTCTTTAACAATCTAGCCTGCACTGATATTACCTTATTCTTCAGTCCACTTGTTTTAAATGTCAAGCAGAGAAATTTAGTTGAAGGTTTTTCAAAATAATGTATCGGTATTTATTCAGAGAGGAGGTACATGAAAAACGTAGAAAAGTTGCCTCTTTTCTCTAACACATAATAGCTATTTTTCTAATCTTCATGGAAAAAAAGATTTACCTGGGTCAGCATGTCCATCTCCCCAAGTAAATTGCTGAACATTTCATCTATATCATCACATGTTTGCTCCATCTGAAAGAAAAAAATCCACAGACAAGGAATCATCACAAGTTCATTTCAAAGCCAGCAATGGTCAAAAACAGAGGATATGCAACATTCTTTTATATTGCGTTCCCAATTAACTTTGAAACAACTGTTCATGACTTGCAAAAACCTCTATCCATAGTTTAGAAATAACTACTAACAGATCAGAATCTCAATCCTGTATGCTTAAACACACACTTGGGCTCTACACTCATTAGGAGTTCCAACAACCTCCTTGTATTATTTACATTTCATAGGAAGTCACTAGCTAATAAACCATGGTTGTATCTTAAACATCAAAGAAATGTAGCTAATGAGAGATGGAGAGGGAAACAAACTTTGAGGTTGAGAAATTCCTGAATGCTTCATCTTGAAAGCTTGCTTTCCTTGGCTTAGATGACTAATACAACAAGAGTTTATTAGGTGTTATCTAGTGCAGGACCTGGTTATGGTTAGGTACATGACCAACTTTTTGTCTCACTATTTCTCCCTATTTTCTTTCAAATACTAGTGCACTGAGAGAACTCCAGTCTTACCTAACCTCAAGACATCTGAGGGAGAGCACTGAGACAAGGAAAATGGGTACATGCTGCATGACAGTAAACGGTGGCTCTTGTTGCAAGAGGGGGGTGTGAGGACAGCACCACACACTGGTGGTGCTGAGATACTGGGGAGATACAGCTTCTGTAATAATCCTCTTTCTCATAAATTTGTTCCTTTGCAGGGAGAGAAGTAGCGTAAAAGGTGTCTGACATGGAACACTGCCAGAGACAAGAACTATAAACATCACTTTCTTAAGAGGCTCAAGCCTGCAGGGGATTGAGAACTCTGGTACTGATTGCATAAAACTAGGATTCAAACTAGGGTCAAACTTTAAACATATAAGTAGTCCTACTGGTTCACTGGGTTTGTGTGCACCTGTATTGGGTTTACGTGGCAAGGTTTTGGGGCGGGGGGGGGGGGGACACGGGGACCTGCGGGGGGGGCTTTTGTGAGAGGACACCAGAAGCTGCTCCTCATGTTGGACAGAGCCAGTCCCAGCTGGCTCCCAGATGGACTTGGTGCTGGCCAAAGCTGAGTCCATCAGCGATGCTGGTAGGACCTCTGCAACAACATATTTAAGAAAGGGTAAAAAATGCTGCGCAGCAGCTGTAAGAGAAGAGTGAGAAAATGTGAGAGAAATAGCCCTGCAGACACCAAGGTCAGTGAAGAAGGAGGTGGAGGAGTTACTCCAGGTGCCGGAGCAGAGATTCCCCTGAAGAGAAGAGTGAGAAAATGTGAGAGAAATAGCCCTGCAGACACCAAGGTCAGTGAAGAAGGAGGTGGAGGAGTTACTCCAGGTGCCGGAGCAGAGATTCCCCTGCAGCCCATGGTGAAGCCGATGGTGAAGCAGGTTGTTCCCCTGCAGCCGATGGAGGCCCACGCCGGAGCAGATATCCACACTGCAGTCCATGAAGGACCCTGCGCTGGAGCAGGTGGACATGCCCTGAAGGAAGCTGCAGCCCGTGGGTGTGCCCACGCTGGAACAGGCTCCTGGTGGGAACTGCAGCCCGTGGAGAGGAGCCCACAAAGAGCAGGTTTTCTGGCAGGACCTGTGACGCCATAGGGGACCCACGCTGGAGTGGAGCAGTCGTTCCTGAAGGACTGTACCTCGTAGAAAGGACCCATGCTGGAGCAGTTCTTGAAGAACTGCAGCCTGTGGGATGGTCCCATGTTGGAGAAGTTTGTGAAGGACTGTCTCCCATGGGAGGGCCCCCACGCTGGAGCGGGGAAACAGTGTGAGGAGGAAGGAGCGGCAGAGACAAAGCGTTATGAACTGACCGCAATCCCCATTCCCCATCCCTCTGTGCCGCTTGAGGGGGAAGAGGTAGAAGAATTGGGAGTGAAGCTGAGCCTGGGAAGAAGGGAGGGGTGGGGTGAAGATTTTTTATTTTTTTTCTTATTTCTCATTATCCTACTGTCTTATTAATTGGCAATAAATTAAATTAATTTCCCTATGTTGAGTCTGTTTTGCCCGTGATGGTAATAGGTGAGTGATCTCCCTGTCCTTATCTCAACCCATGAGCTTTTCCATTGTATTTTCTCCCCCTGTTCTGCTGAGGAGGGGGAGTGATAGAGTGGCTTGGTGGGCACCTGGTGGCCAGCCAAGGTCAACCCACCACAGCACCTTACAGCATGAGGACCAACCCGATGCAAGAAAGCAATCAACTGAGGACAGGAACTCTAATGACTATAAAGACTGGCAAGAAGACCAGCAAGTATCCTCTTCTTCAATCTTAATGCTTTTCCTTTAATAGAGCATCTTGAGTCACATAACTATTCCGCAGTTAAATGATAAAGGCCGCTGAACCACTAAGTCAATATCTGTTGTTTGAGAATTACTTGGTAGCACGTCTTGAATATGATAGTTAATACTGTGTATTAAGCAATCTGAGATGCTCTGCCTCCTTTGGACTTGGTCTTTCTGGCATCTACATAAGCAAGACCAGCCTAATTTCCACTTGTCCTCTTACCACCTGTGTTATCCCCGACACCAGAACTCATTAGGAGTAGGCCTGACCACTTTCATCAGTCAGGCTCGGGGCATATTCTACCCGCTTTAGACTTTTTTTGTAGCTGCTGTAACTAAACAAGGCACAGGCAACCAGGCACTGGACTTTGAACTTCCACAGTTCTCTCCGATCCCAGAAATCAAAGACTTAAAGATTTGGGAACTGGATGCTGTTAAAGATGTTTTAGTAGGATGTGGTTGGCAGGGCTGAGGGTAACCCTAGCCTGATGGTGGAGACGGCACAGCTATGCCCATGTAACAGGGAACACACGTCACACATGACTGAGCGAATGGAGAGCTAAAGTCATCTTATCTGCTTCACTTCCAGCTGACAAACCCACACTGGATGGCTCACTCTCTCTGTACGTATCATAGTTATCATACAGAGCTTTCTACACAAAATTCCATTTCTGTAGATTCAGCAGTATACTGGTTAGGTAAATGAGTACTGAATCTTAAGTCATTTATTTGAATCAACAGCTGTGTAGCTTCCTACCCACCTGGCACTTGGAGAATCAATTTTCATAAAAAGGATAGATAAAATGGCACTTCTTTAATCAGGCAGAGTGAAGTCAGATTTGTTATGTGACAAAAATGGAGCTGCAGTTCATACTGACAAGTATCTCATCAGTGCTTAAATAATACTGAATAATTTTATGTTTTCCTGTTTTCTGATTTAGGAGAACAAAATATCTGCTGGGGGAGTCTTGTCAGCTCTAGCCATTTGTTTTGTGTGGTGTTTTTAAGCACTGGCTAGATCTACTTTCAGGAAAAAGTGTTCATACTGGTTCCTTTGACAAACTGAAATTCTGCTTTGCTATATTTTTCCAGAATAGAAATATCAAAATGGCAAAAAAATTACTCTTGGGTTACAACCAGGAGACCTTATCAAGAGGAGGAGTAAGAACTGTCTAAAAAGGAAAAAAACACCCCTAAGAACCCTCTTCAGTAGTTAACAACAACAACAAAAAAAGGCAAGAGAACCAAATACTGGATTATACAACACTTTCACCAAATTACGGGATTTTTACAGGTTCTAGTAAATTTAGAGCTTCTTTCTTTGCAATTATATAATTTTCTGAATCTTCAGACATATTTGATTCATAAGGAAATAATGTAATCCTATGAAAAAGCAATGTGCAAAGAGTTCTGTAAGAATTTCCACTGTAAATTGGAGCTGAGTAAGTCACTGATGACTCTTCCTTATCAATTCAAATAAATGACATTTAATACTAGGGGTTTTTTTGACCTTAAGCACATGGGGGAAGGGAGAAGGCCTGAACATATATTGTGAGAAGGAAATACATCAGTGTCCCTTTCAAGTGTGACTTTCAATGAACAGACATCCATCATCATCACCAGACCGATAAAGCCATGTTGTCACCAAGCCATTGCCCCTACTGGTATCTTTTTTTTCTCCTGAATTTTTATTGATTGGGTTTAGGAAGACAAAATTAACATCATAATCACTGAATACCCTGAAAATATTTTTATGTTAAAACACACTGAATGATCTCTTAAACTGATATAAGAGCTCTCCAAATTCATCAGCGATTTTGTCAAGAGCTAGAAAAGCAAAAGATAGTAAAATGAGTCCCCAAAACGTGGAACTGCAAAGGAGTGTCCATTCACTCTCCTCCTCTTTGACTCCTCTCCACAATCATTTCCCTTTCTTTTATTTGATTGCCACAGTAGGAACAAACAGACAAAACAATATGCAGATTTGGGAACTATCCCATTCAAGGAAAATGTTGCTTCATTTTGGACCAGCAAATTCTTTTGACTTTTATAAATAGCCTTGAACTTATTCAAACCAGAAACTCAAAGTGAAACCTGCAGGTGTATGAGCTATTATTAACAAAAAAGGGGAAAAGATTTACCAAAGTGCCCAGAAGAATACTGAGTTTCATGCTCAGTCCTCCTCTATATCCACTAAACAGTAACTTTTCTGTCAGGTTTTTCTGTATATAGTACTATTACTAGTAACTCTTAAAATCACTATCAACTACAACAAACTGAAGAGAAAAAAGACAGTACTTTTACAGTAAGTTTCCCATATTATGCATAAGATTTCAAGCAGAGAAAAAATAAGAATTAAAATAAAAAGAGGAAATTGCAGTTGTCAAGAATAAACATGCTAAGGAGGGGCTTGTGGGAAGGCATACATGTGAAACCTAACCTATTTTTAAAGTGATGGATTTTCAAATTGATGTCTTCTAGACCGCTTTTTGAAGTAACACCAAGCATACAGGCAAAGGTATTCCTTGTCTTTTATTTCCCCCAAATTTCACATTCTCAAATCTTCATTGAGCTCTCATGAAAACCTCCTTTATTTTTTTTTTTTTTTTTTTTTAAACAGAAGAAAATGGGGTTGGGGCATTTTTTCTTCAGCTTGCTATTCTAACCACCAAGTCTCGCTATTTAGTTTATGCATGTT